AGCATGCCAAGCCAACAGGTGGCGATATAATCTCAGCCGTAAAGCCATGTTGGCTAATCAGAAGCCTGAAAAAGTTGTCCAGTAGGCGGCGATAATAGCGCATGCTCCGACGTCACAAGCCAAAATCTCCGGTTTCGCTGTCTACACAATAACGCTACAACCGGAGTTTTTGAAAATCTTCACCCTGGCAGGAGTTTTCAAAAATGTTCGGTTTCAGTGACCTGGTGCTACGTTTGCGTGTGGACGAATGGCCAAACCGCATAGAAAAAGCTATGGTTTTGAAAATACAAGGAAGTGTAATATTGGACATTCTTAAAGAATCCTGTTACATAGGCCGCTATTCACATTACTGATGAGTGTTTTTTTAGGTTGTGTATGTCTTGTATCCCCATGACCCAGCTACTTTGTTGCCCGATTAAAAGTGTTTACTTACCCACTTGCGAGCAGAAAGCGTTAAATAGACAGATGGCCCCTCATACTAACTGGGCTCCCGTGTCTTTGGCTACACCAGAAACCCCCTTTTCTCCACATGCCTTAGTGAGCAAGCGAGCGACCCAAACTCCTCCCCCACCCCCTCTGAGCCCACATCAACCTCTGAAATCACTGAGCTGGTCCAGTCATGGCCTGACAAGAGATTGGGGACAGAGCTGGATGACTTGGACGATGATTTCTTATCGGATGACCCATGCTCGGATATTGAGGAGGAGGAGGGGGAGGATGAGGATGAGGATGATGATGATGATGAGGGAGAGCTCTGCAGAAGCTCCGGCAAAGCTGAGGACCCGTTTTACGATCGCTCGCCATTGTTCAGTGTAGTGGGAAGGTTGGTGAGGTTTCAGGAGCGTGCTGGGAAAGGAAACTAGCTCTTTCACACTGAGACTGGGTTGCGCTTCCTTTTTTAAACACATTGTGTGTGCACAGCACTCACGGAGATAAATATATAAACACTTAAACTTGAAACATTTTTGCTTATTTAATGACAACGCTTATATTTATACAAACACACACCTGAAAAAGGTGTATGCTAGACATATGCATAAAGGATGAGAGTGTATACACACATACACAGAGGCACACACAATGAGAATAAATTGAATTTAAAATTACTCTGTTCATCTCTTCTGGGTGAACTTTAAGATAAAGAAGTGTAAAGTAGACACAATTGAGACTGTTGTTGACCTCCAGTACCAATAAATACAGAGCTATGAAATAAATGGACAAAGGAGAATGTTGAATTTATTGAGGGTTTTTTTTTTCTCTCTGACTGTTGATTTTGGTGTTTGGTCAATGACGTGAATAAAAATGTACTCAGAAAGTACTCAGAAAAGAAAATCTAAAAATATAATAAATATGATATTATAAATATAAATTATAAAACTATAATAAAATCCAAGGTAGTTTGACATAATATTTTGAAATATTTTAAAAACATTGTTTGTCAAATTAAAGTCACGTGGTGTGATCAATATGCAGAAATAAAACAGGAAATGATATCATAGAGAGGACCCCTGCAGACCCTCATGACTGTGTGTTAAGTCTATTAAAATATAAAGTAATTTGACGTATTTACTGTATGATGAGTTAAAGTTATTTCAAGTCATAATGGGTTTGTTCAGGTTGACACATGATGCGAAAAAAACCCATGATATTTGTGAATTAATAATTCATGATATATGTCCAAAAATATTTTTAACCTCAAAAAATATATATATTGGAAAACTTGTTTTGAAAAGAATTTTTAAGATGTGCACACTTTTTATTTGATGGTTACACCAGATGTCATCTTATGAAAGCAACTTGAATACATTTCTAAGCATTGAGAGCACATGTGTTTTAAACAATTTTTTAAAAAGACTTTACTTTTATTTACCTTGGCTGCTCTTATTTGTCAATGACCCTTCTGGTAAATCTGTTTGTGACGTTGATGAAATCTCTTGAGGAGACAAGTGAGATTATAAGGGTCTTTAGTTCAGAAGAAAAATCTGAGGAGTAAGTCTCCACTTGATTTTCATCTCATTGCTTTAGCAGAAACCTCTACGATATTAAAAAAGATCTCTTATGTGATTTTGTCTTTCCCATGGGAAGGATTCCTGGATTTTAGTCAGCATGTCTGGACTTTACCCCGTCTTCTCCCATTATCATACATTTCATCTGATCGCTGCAGACACACACCTTGAGCTTCTGGGTTTCATTTCGACCTAATGATTGTGATCATTGAAATCAGAATTGGCTGGATGTCAGCGGCACCACCCAGCGCAGCTATGGCTCTCGTGTCACGCCAAGGTCTGTGTCCCAGCTTTACATGCACCGCATCACTTCTTCAAAGGGGTACGTTTGCGTGTGGACGAATGGCCAAACCGCATAGAAAAAGCTATGGTTTTGAAAATACCATAAGAATGACCAGACTTGAGCTGACCATGCTAATGAGACACATGTGCAAACAATGAGTGCTGATGAAACCGGGTAGAGGATTATGGGTAATTAAGTCCTTGATAGAGTGGAAGAAGTCTGGGATTGAGTGCCCTCTAGTGGACAACCAGTTCACTCCAGTTGGTGATCGTCGGTGACAGTAATATTATAAATGTCTTTACTGTCTCTTTTCATTAATTTGCTGAAGTGCTATCTCCAAACACTCATATTAGATGTTTGTTTTGTGTACCGCAGAAACAAACAAGACCAGATTTTAGTTACATGGCACGAATGTCTGATGAATGAGAAAATAGCTATTCATCTAATGACTTACTAATTGGTTCCCATATTACAGCCGTTTGGTTACTTCGAGTGTTCACATATCTCAAGATGAAAGAGCTGGTTTCTAGCACAGCTGTCTCTCTTCTGGGCATGTGAGATCATATGCCGTATTTCGACCTTTTTTGTGAGATTTTACATGGAAACCTTTGATGAATTGGCTCACTCTTTTAAGTTGCGCTTGTGCAATGCACTGCACATTTGTGACAGTATGGTCTTATTTACCTATTTTTTGGTATTTGCTAATGGTATTGTCTGTTCACGCTCACATTGTCCAGTACTGTTACATTTTATGTCTTCTCTTTCACCTTTTTTGTCACAAGCATGCTTTTTTATACCTCACCAAAACCCCTTTTTTGTTCAGCACTACCATATCGTCTACACATGGAGGATGGGCAATGTAGTCCTTGACGGAAGATGGATTAAGAACAAACAGAGTTAGGGTTGAGATTTAAAACTGTTAATTATCAATATCAACTATATATCTTTTTTTTTCTATCTTTGGTTTTTAAATAAACATATAAACAGTCCTATTTCTGGTTCTGATCAAGGATATCAGGATTATCCAAATTCCCCACAATCATTCACACAAAAACACGAGTCACTCCATGTAATATATTGTACATTTGACACATATAGTGAAGTCCAAAAATGTGAGATCACTAGTCAAAATGCTTTACTTTTTTTGCTACACATTTACAAATAATGTTATCAGTACATTAATTTGAGTGAAAGACTGAATTGAGAAATTAACATTATTTTCAGCATGTTTTGTTCCAAAACGTCTTGTGTGGAAGCAAGAAAACGGGACCTTTTGTTCAAAGTGTACTTTTTGTTCAGTGTTACTTGCAGTAGAAATAGTATGAAATCTTAAGCATTTCTTTATTTACATTACCGTTAAAAAGTTTGGGGTGGGTAAGATATTTTATTGTTTTTGAAAGAACTTATGTTCACCAATGCTGCATTTATTTGATGTAAAATACAGTAAAACAGTTATATTGTAAAATATTAGAATTTGAAATAAATATTTTCTGTTAAAATATATTTTAAATTGTAATTTATTCCTGTGATGGCAAAGCTGAATTTTCAGCAACAATTACTCCAGACTTCTGTGTATCATGATCCTTCAGAAATCATTCTAACATGCTGATGTGTTTAAGAAATATTTATTATTAGTATTATTATTATCAATGTTGAAAACAGTTGTGCTTCTTACTATTTTTGTGGAAATCGTGATACATTTTTTTTCAGAATCAGAATCATTTATTTGAAATAGAAATCTTTTGCAATATCATAAATTTTACATATGATGAATTTAATGCATCCTTGCCGAATACAAATATTAATTTCTTTAAAACAAAAAAAACAAAAGCTTTTGAGCCATAGTGTGTATTACGTTTTTCAAAATCCTTAACCTTTGTTTATTATATAGTTTTCAATGAAAGTAATCCCCAATTTTTAAAATGTGGTCTCAGATTTCTTTTCTGTATTGTTTTTAGGGTTTATCTTCACTTCAATCCCATGCTTCTTAAACTCACCCAAAATCAGTTAAAAATACTCACACCTACCTGTTTTATATCATGTAGCCTGATCTGTGAGGAATAATCATGTCCAGGGCCACAGCAGTGCCTGCTTGTGTCTGTATGTTGCTCAATGTTGTGTTTGTCCTGTTTGCTGTACAGTCGATCCCTTGGACACACATTTTGTTCTTCCCTCTCTCCTTTAGGACATTTGTGTATTTGAGTAATCTGCTCTATCCTGTGCCCTTGGTCCATCGGGTTGCCATTGTCAATGAGAAGGGAGAGGTCAAAGGTTTCCTCAGAGTAGCTGTACAGGCAATATCAGGTAAGATTAGGACTGCAAGTGTCTTGCAGAACCTACTGGTGAGTGATACATATTTCCATCTATCATTACAATGTGTAGTATCAAAGCATTGAATCAATTACATTTAAATTAATAGTATTTTTAAAGATTAATTTTAAGTTAATTAATGACAGTAGTAATGTAAATGTAAAATCAGGGGAAATGATCATGCACAATTTAATATTCAATAAATTAAATGTATATGTGTATGTCTATATATATATATGTAGATGGCCGATATGTAGTGATATATCATTAGTTTAAGGGAACAGAATTTTTTTTTTGGTGTTAGAGGATGTATGTAGGCCAGAGGGATTGTATATATAGTATGAAGGGCAAACTGTGTGTGACTTCTTGAGGAAGTGATGTGAAGGTGCTCTGGTTTTTCCTCCAGCTGATGAAGAGGCACCAGACTATGGCTCTGGTGTCCGACAGTCAGGCACTGCCAAGATTTCTTTTGAAGACCAACAGTTTGAGAAGGTATTTACATTTAAACACTTATAATGAAGCAATTTTACAGGAAGGGTAGACCAAGCTGAAGAGGCCAGCTTAAATTTCAGTGCCAGTCCAGGCTTTTTACTAGCTTAAATGGTCTTTCTTGTCAAGCTGGTTGACCAGTATGATTGTAGCCTTTTGGAGATGCTGAGAACCAGCATTCAGAACACAGCAGAGTTCTTATGGTCCTATAAAACCTGGAAACATCCGAGAATTTAAAAGTGCTGTCTCCAATCCTGGAAAATCATGGAAATTAATTAAATCTTAAAAGGTCATGATAAAGTCATGGAAATCTGCATAGCCAATATAAGCTTTTCTAGGTTTGCTAATTATAGTCCAGTCATGGAAAAAAAACGTCTCAGGTTACGTATGTAACCCTAGTTCCTCGAGGGAACGAGACGCTGCGTCGAAAACGCTAGGGGAACGCCTTCTGCGACCCACGCTCTGAATCACATGTGAAATGAGTCCAATAGCTGAACGGGACGTCACGGCGGATGACGTCATGACCAGGAAGCTATAAAAGCACGTGCGGCGGAGCCAGCGTCAGCTTCTAGGAATGAAGCAAGCGCCGGCAGGGACGCCGGAAGTATGGCACCGAGACGCAGCGTCTCGTTCCAGCGTGGGTCGCAGAAGGCGTTCCCCTAGCGTTTTCGACGTAGCTCGAGTTCCTGAAGAGGAACATGTGAATTCATTGCTCGAAAGTACAATGTACACTGGACACTTGTCAATGTGGATATTCATACGACGGCATCTTACTTAAGGTATTTCTCTTTCCTGTTGATCAGTTCCAGTCAGAATCCTGTCCTTCTGGTCTTTCACGTGCTGCTGTATCTCAGGAAGAGCTGCGAATTGTGGAGGGTGAGGGCCAAAATGCAGAGATGTCACTGTCAGCAGATGAGGTCAACAATAATACCTGTGCAAGTAAGAAACAGAGAACATTCGGAAAATATTAAATGAAAATTGTGATTACATCATTGGGTGATGTTTTTGTCTTTTATGCTTACCAAGGCTATGTTTATTTGATCAAAAACAAGTAAAACAGTCATTTAAAATAACTTTTTCTATTTGAATACATTTAATATGCTCAAGAAACCTATTATATACTTATTATCACAGTTAAAAACAGTTGTACAGCTTAATATTTTTTTATGGAAACCATGATAAATGGTTTCAGGATTCCTTTATGAATAGAAAGAACAGCATTTATTTGCAATAGAAATCATTGTCTTTACTGCCTCTTTTGATCAAATTAAAAAAAAAGTAAAAGTATGAATAAAAGTATTAACAGTAGTGTGTGTAAGTGGAAACATGACCTACAACTTTGTGTTTCTGAAGTCTGAATCTAAATGCCAGTTTCAGCTGTCCCATGGAGTTTTCATATTTCTTTGACTTGACATCTTTTCTTTCATGTGTTTTTTCATAGCTAACACAGAGGAGCTGGACAGCCCTGTCAAAACCGGTCTTGATGGCGTACTGGATGGCGCTCTGGATCACTTGAGGATCGGAGAAGCCTTTACATTCAGAGTTACTGTGCTGCAGGCGTCAAGCATATCCGCAGAATACGCAGACATATTCTGCCAGTTCAAGTAAGTGCTCTGTTCTGTTCTGAAGTCTGTTTCCACTAGCGGACATTTGTCATTGTTCTGTATCTAATTTACTTTTTTTAAACTCCTCGTTTGTAGTTTTATTCACAGGCACGATGAAGCGTTTTCCACAGAGCCGTTGAAGAACACTGGACGTGGTCCACCACTTGGCTTCTATCATGCGCAGAATGTGAGTTTTAAACTGTAACACACAGCTCCACGTCACACTGTTTTTATTAGACTGAGGGTAAAACACTTGTTTCTCTGATTTTCCAGATTGCCGTGGAAGTGACTAAGTCCTTTATAGAGTACATAAAGACTCAGCCAATCGTGTTTGAAGTGTTTGGACATTACCAGAAGCAGCCTTTCCCTTCGCTCTGCAAGGATCTCATTAGGTAGATCCTGGCGATATTTATTATTTCCAACTCTGATTAATGCATGCTACAAATGTCTGGATTCATCCATCAAATATACTGAAATGACAGCCAGAATTTTTTTTTCAGCCCGTTGCGCCCATGCAGACGACAGTTCCCGAGAGTCATGCCTCTTTCCAAACCAGGTGAGGGCAATGAATGTATATGACCATTTTTTATGAACATTAACATAGATGTGTCCTGCCAGGCTGAAGCTGTTTAGCACATATTCTTTGCTTCGTCGTTGTATTGCCTTTTTTATGTTGCTGTTTGGGGTTCATGTGCCCATGTCACAGTCTTTATGTTGTTGGTGGTGGGTATAGCTGCAGATAACGACACCCCTCCTGATCGGGAGAAGAACCTGGAGCTGATTCGCCACCTGCTGCCAGAGGTCTTCAGTGGGGCTCTGGTGGACTCACTGTCAAGCCACGCCCTCAATGCAGCAGGCGTGGCTGTTTCCTACCTCCTTGAGGGGGAGGAGCAAGCCGGACTGCCGGCCCCACCCTTGTCTATCTGTTCAGTAATAAAAGCGCAGAAGCCGGGTCTGTAATGGTTCTGAGTGCCTAAGGCCAAAGAATGTCCCTGAAACTGAACCTCTGGTCTGTCTAATGCACTTGTAATAATATAACATAACATAACATATACAATTTGATTAAGAAACATCTCTTATCATGTGGAAAATGTTTGTGCTGCTGCTTAATATTTGTATAGAAAAAGTGGTACTTTTTTCAGACTCTTTGATGAATAGAAAGTTCAAAAGAACAGCATTAATTTGAAATAGAAACCTTTAGTAACATTATAAATCTCTTTACTGTCACTTTTGATCAATTTAACGCGTCCTTGATTAATAAAAGTATTTTTTCCCCCTTTTTTCATACTTACTCAGAACTTTTGAATGGTAATGTATCTCTGTTTCCATAAAAATATCAAGCAGCACAGCTATTTTTAACATTGAAAAGAAACATTTCTTGAGCACCACATCAGCATATTAGAATGATTTCTGAAGGATCACGTGGCACTAGAGTAATGGCTGCTGAAAATTCAGCTTTGCCATCACAAGAGTAAATTGCATTTTAAAATGTATTAAAATCGAAAACAGTTACTTTCAATTGTAACAATATTATCAAATAAATGCAGCCTTGGTAAACATAAGAGACAATCTGGAAAAACATAATTATTCCAAACTTTTATTAAATTATTCCAAATTATACTTGGACATTTTCTTGGATTTTTTCAACATAAAAATAAGTGATATTTAGACAAAGTGTCCACTCACTTTCCCCAATTCACTGGGAGTCACACAAACTCTCTGCATTGACAGACTGAAGGACGCTTTGTTCCAGGGACTGCGTTTCGGCCTGTTAATACTGTGTGTGGGTGTATGTCTTTTTCTCTCCCTCAGCCTCTCCATACAAACCTCATCAAGCAGATGGACAATTCTAGCCTTTTTCTCTGACACCATTCACCAGAAATAAACTGATGAATAGTGCTTGAATAAGAATGTATCAGTGCCTGAGTAAATCTGGTTCTGTCACTTGAAACTGTGCTTGATGATGCAGTGGTCCCTTAATATCTGCAGGATAGTAGTTTTGGGTCATTATTATTAAATATTTGGTTATTGGTTGTTAGTTTTTATTAGATTTCTTGTCTCTGGATATACAGTATCATATTCACTGGTTTGTCTTACAGAAAGAGAAAAATTGAAAAAAAAAAATTATGATAAGTATTCATAATGATATGTATTAGTTAAGTGTGAGTTAAAGGAAAAGTTCATCCTCAAATTAAAATTCTGTCATAATTTACTCACTTCATCTTATTCAAAACTGCACGGCTTTTGTTTTTCTGTGGAACTTCAAAATAAAGTTTTGATCAGTTTTTTTTTCAATATAATGTAAATGAATGTGGACGGGGGCTGTCAAACTCCAAAATGACTCTAAAAAAGCACCAAAAAAAAAAACCTTACGAGGCCGCACAATATCTTGACATCTTGTTCATGTAAGCACATGAAAGAAGTATAGAAGTCTGATTTCTTTCAATTAGCTTTGTATATTGCGTCTAGTTAAATGAATCACTAATCTGGTTCTCTGTTTCATCTCAATATGTAGCTATCATATGAATTAACAAGGCTTGTAATATGAGTTATGAATGAATAACTTTCATGATACCTTTATGGTGCTGTTTTTTTGGTAATTTTGTTGTTCGATAGCCCTAGTCCTTGTTAACTTACATGGAAGAAAGTGGCCAGAATATTCTTCAGAAATTCACCTTTTATGTTCCAGGGAAGAAAGAAAGTAATTTTTCATTTTAGGGTGAATTATTCCTGTAATAATTCTGCTTGGCATGTGCAGACGTTCAGGGATCACTGTAATTCACATGACTTTATTCATCTTAACAGCAGTGTGCCTTTACATCGGACTCCTGATCTCCCACTCCTGCTCCTCTCTAACTATGGTCTATTCCTCCTCTTATGCTGTGGTGCATATCTTGCTCTCTCCTGTGAAACTCTAGTATCCCTTTCATCTGCCATTGAATTTTTATATCCATTGGTCTATGATTAACTCGGTATTGATTTGACGTTCTTTCCCGCTCTGTCTTCCTCTGCTTTCTGCATAGTACCTGCCACCAAACTGACAGCTCTCACACGACCCACGGCAGGACCGTGCCACTGTAAATATGACCTGATGGTCTTCTTTGAAATCTGTGAGCTAGAGGCCAATGGAGAGTAAGTGTCTTGTATAACCATTGACCTTTTCACTTTAAATTGTCGTCTGAGTAGAATAGATTGTAAAATCGATTACTGTCTTTACTGGGGCCTGTAAAAGTGATTGAATGAATTTGTCATATGGTACCTTATTTGAAAACAAATATGTCATAAGAAAGATCAGTTCTTTTTTAGCATTCAATTTAATTAATAAAAAACTAAATATTATACAATACATAGTTTAAGATATATTTGTATATATATTTAAATATATACATATTATTACATTATTATAATATTCAGTCTATTGGTTTTGTAAACCCTTGTACATGTTGTGTTCAGTTTTTATATCCAGGAAAGAGTGACAGTGCTGGTTATTGTATATGACACATATCTTTCCCTTCCAGCTATATCCCAGCCGTAGTGGACCACCGGGTAGGCATGCCCTGCCATGGCACTTTCATGTTACATCAGGTACTGGGAATTTATTTATTTTTTTTTCTATTTCCCTTTCCATTTTGTTATTTTCTCTCATACTGTTTATTTTAACATTAGATTTCAAAATTAATAATAACATAAAATAACACAACATTTACATAACAGGGCATCCAAAGGAGAGTCACAGTCACCATAGTACATGAGTCAGGAAGAGATATTAAGTGGAAGGAAGTGCGAGAGCTGGTTGTAGGTGAGTTTGGGCTCAAATGTAAATGCTTATGCGCAAACCAAAGTGAAATCTGATGATATTCAACATATGGGATGTATTTTGTGTTTGACAGGGCGCATCCGGAACACGCCTGAAGCAGATGAGACAATCATCGACCCCAATATTCTCTCTCTCAACATACTGTCTGCAGGATACATCCGTCCCGCACATGATGACAGGTACATTCCCAACCCTAATAAATATAACAAGACCAGTTTAGAAGTTTACAAATAGAATTGACTTTCTCATGTCTTTAACACTAAACATAAGACATCTTGAAAGTTATGCTTGTCATTTTATATTTGAAGAACACCTCCAAAGGGAGTTTTATTCTTCTGTCATGAAGCCTTTTTTCTCCTTAAGAACACTCAGTAGCAGATTTTCTTAACTTTGGCTGTTTCCCACTACACTCTTTTTAATACCAGGTCTCCATTTTAGTGATTGCTGTACTTAATACGACTCTCTCCTCAGCCTTGGCTCATGATCTGAGAGCTGGAGCCAAGCCTGTGACAAACAGTTCTCTGCACAACTTTAAAGCAATGAGTTTTTGCCAAAGAGAAATGAGTCAGTGAACCAAACTTTCAAAACAGCTCTTAAAGTCCTGTCTCAAGGGAGTGATTCAAAATCAAACAGCACAGCCACAGCGCCAGCCTTAGATAAAGACAAGAAGTATATTCACACTTTTATGTTCCTTTACACAAACATACCATAAGTCGCTGCATGGTTGAGGTGGCTGACAACTGGCACTTACTAGTATTGCCATATTGAGGCTTTTAGGTGCACATTATGGGTTTGGGAGAGTCTGATCATCCAGTTAAGGGAACTCCAAAAAGAACTCCAAAAGAAGTCAAAACAAAAGGTTAGGGGATCTTAAAAGTATACTACCGTTCAAAAGTTTGGGGTCTATACGATTTTTTTTTTTAATGTTTTTTGAATTTTTTTTAAAGAAGTCCCTTATGCTTAACAAGGCTGCAATTATTTGATCAAAACAGTAACGCTGTGAAATATTATTATAATTTATTTATTAAAATAACTGTTTTCTAATATATGGCAAAGCTGAATTTTCAGCGGCCATTACTCCAGTCTTCAGTGTCACATGATCCTTCAGAAATCATTCTAATATGCTGATTTTTGGTGGTCAGGAAACATTATTATTAATAACAATGTTGAAAACATTTGTGCTGCTTAATATTTTTGTGGAAACCGTGATACTTTTTTATCAGGATAGTTCAAAAGATCAGCATTTATTTGAAATAGAAATCTTTTGTAACATTATAAATGTATTTACTGTTAAAATCGATGCATCCTAAGTATTTTTTTTGAATGGTAGTGTAAGTAAATTGGAAAAAAAAAAAGTTATTTATGAATGACAGTGTAAGTACTGTTTTAATTTGACATATTACATGAGGAATATTATAGGATCAGAATTGGACAGTATATAAAAACCTAACCTGAACGGCTGCGGTATTTTTATTTATCTTTTTTTAGATTTACATTGTGCAAGTATATCACTTTTTTATCTAAAAAGTTGATAGTAAGATTGTAAGTTACTGAAAATTAAACGGTTAGCATTTGGCTAGCTATGGTAGTAGCTCCAAACAACTTGTTCATGCAAAAATGAATCTCAACAGATTTTGCTTCCAAAAATCTGACTCTTTCAAAAGTCATTTAATTCAAAAGCTGTCACTGGGGCAGTACCTTTTCAAAAGGTACAATTTTGTACCAATACTTTAGGTACAAAGGTGTACCTTTTGAAAAGGATATGCCCCAGTGACAGCTTTTATTTCTGAGAGTGCATAGTACACAGATAAAATAAGCCTTGATAAATGCTTAAAATATCTTAACGCAAATTCTCAACACTCCTCTTTCCCAACTGTAGGATTGCGTTTAATCATTGCGGAGACATTGCTGCATGACATAACCGCAGGGGGTCAGGATGCTTTTAACGCATCGCTTGACTGACAGACTAATCCATGCAGCTGCTCTTTTTCTGTTTTATAAAACTCATAATTATCATTCCTCTCCCACTGCATGTAAGACAGAATGTGGTTTTATTAGCCTTGATGAAGGAGGTCACAATTTATTGAACCAACAATCTGAAAATATTAATTCACTATCTTCGGGAATTGAAAAAATGGTTCTCTAGTTCACCTCCTTGCTGGTTGTGCAAGTCTTCCCATCTGATGCTGGTCTGCATTTGTATCCATTCTCATCTGTTCATTCCATTCGCTCTGTCCACACTCCATTGCTCAGACTCAACTACCTGCTCACTGAACCACACAGTGGATCGAGTTCTTGGCATCTCTGCTAGTCACGATCACGTAGCTCTGATTTACATGTGAAGATTTATTTCAGAAGAATGTTTACCATTTAAAATCACTAGAAGCTCATTTATGAATACTTTACTAATCAAATCCATCATTAACTTTCTCTAATCATGTTAGTTATTGTAAACAATAGGCCCTGTTTCTCATGTCACATTATGCTGTAGCAGCCAAACAAAGCATTTTGTCATATACAATGCATTACTAGGACTTCACCTTAGATGGGCATCATATATCAGCATCCAGGCTTTGCAAACATGAAATGCTTCAAATAAAATCATAATATATTATTAGATATATTATTAGATGTGTCCGCCTGAACCCCACTGATGCAAAACCGCATAAAAGAATCATTCGAACCTTCCGTTTCAAGCAGCAGTGACCTCCTCTCCTGCGATTTAACCACAAGTCTTCACTAGATAGTCCACACTACCTATAAAACCATGTAACTGAGCTGGATTCATGCACCAATGCAAAGGAACAAGGACAAATATGTGACAGGAGAGTTGTGCAGAGGCCTTGACAACCATATTATATTCAAACAACAAGTCAAATAATTGGAAACAAGCTTCTGGGCCTTCACACCTTCTGATTCTAATATTTTTTTAGTCCACTAACAGAATGTTGTCTTGTGTTTTTCCAGACAGTTTCTTGATTCGGACATTCCTAGGTATATTACCTTCAAATCCCTTTCCTCTCATAAGATACGCACTCTCTCTCTCTCTCTCTCTCACACACACACAAATATTGCTTTTTCTGCATTCTTGTTGGTTTGCCTATTTATTTTCTCCTTCCCTCCTACTATTTCTGAAAATGTGAGAGAATTTCACTCTGGCTCCCATGGAAATGCTTTTGTGTGTGAAGCTTCTGTTTTGTATTGTATGTTTTTGAAATTTTTTGGCACCTCTGGGTGACTGGATTGCATGGCTTGACTTTTGTATGGGCTGTGTTTTGGCTGAGTCATTTGCAGGAGGTGTGGTAGAGATCATAGTCACCTTCCCAGCTAACAAGGAATGTTTTCAGAACTTTGGCTAACATTCTGGCAAGGTGTTCTCAAATATATGAACAAATGTTCTTCCGTTAATGTTAACAGAATGTTTGTTTAAAGTTATGTGGCCTTTAATAATGTTGTCGAAATGTTAACACACACAAAAAAAAGTTTTTACATAGTTTTTACATTGTTCTGAACTTTTTCGTAAAACATTTATTTTTAAATATTACTTGTTTCAGAATGTTCAGAGAACATTCAAAGGATCTGTTTAAAGATTACCATAATGTTTGCGAAATGATGCAATGGAATGTCTTCTTAACATTTGTGTAACCGAAAGCCAATGTTCTTAAAACATTTTAAAAACTGGACACAAATGAAACATAATAGAAACACCATTTTTATAACTTTATAAATAAATTTGTATTCTATGTCACTCACTTCTTGATCATATTCCTCCAGTTTAAACAAAAAGGAATTAAAAACAATAATAATAATAATAACGAGTCACATGAAAAAATACTATAGTAATTTATAGTAAATACTAGTGTTTTTGAACCATACTATAGTAAAGTGTATTATCCTGTATATGTCATAGTATTTACAACACTTTGTTAATGAATGCTACAGCATACTGTAGTATTAACTATAGTGAACTGATAAACTGTAATAAATACTGTAGTATACTTTTGTTTTTACTACAGTAAACTGTAGTGTATTGTAGTATACTATAATTGTAGAAAACTTAGTACAGTATTGGGTAAAATAATTTGTTTATGTTACTATAGTTGTTATATTACCACAGTAACTATAGAATTACCACAACAAATTAATTCAAGTACTTTACTATAGTATGGTTCAAAAACACTATAGTATACTATAAATTACTATAGTATTTTTTCATGTGGGCTACCTACCACACATGCTCCATCAGTCTCACATAAATGTATTGCTCTTGCTCAACAAATTAGATGACATCTTTTAATTAAAAAATGTATGGTTTCATTTATACTGTTCTGCAAGAAGATCAAGTTCCATCACAAATGTCAAAGCAACACTGTAAAACACAACTGTGTGGGGCGATAACTGTTGGCCAAACCACACACTAGGTCTGTGTTGTTTATGGGCGGGATGGCGTGCTCCGCTAACTTCGGTATTAATCATGAATCTCTGAACAAAATTTGTGTTACATTAGTCTACTGAGATTTACGATCTCATACGAAAAAAAATGCGTTTAATCCATAGACTGTATAAAAACATGGACGTAGTGTCCGTGACGTAACCCGTAGACTTCCGACGAGCGTTTTGAAGCCTAAAGTAGGCGGAGCCAGCCGTCGCCATCTTGGCAGCGCGTCACCGCGCGTCACTCCCGGATAATCGAAAATGGGCAAAGAGGCGGGAGCTGGTTGCTGAAACCACGCCCACCTAGCTCGACGGTGGTGACAGCAGCGGCAATCCACCTGTCACTCAAGTAGCCACGCCCTTAATTATGCAGAACTTTAAGGCTTAATCTAATTTAAACGGATGAGTTATAAAAAAATTCACCCCCTCACAGTTGTCATGAAGGGCAAAATTAGCTATATAGACCAAAATCATTTTTTGAACCAGGCTGTAAACATGTTTTTTTCTGCTGTAAAGTTGGGAATTTTAACATGGGGAGTCTATGGGATTGACTCCCTTTTGCAGCCAGCCTCTAGCGGCCAGTCGATGAATTACAGTTTAAGTCACTTCCTTGTTGGCTTCATGAGAGAGAGCGGGAGGTTGCCGCTCGGTTTAATCACGTTTATTGCCAGTTAGCCCCCCTTGGCATTCTCTGCTCATGAGTAGCTGTTATTTTTAACACTAGGGGGCAGTGTTTCTTTGAAGATTTCAAACACTGTGTGTTGCCTGAATGACTTTGAGCAAACATTTCTAAGAGCTGCTTGTTCTGCAGACTGTAATTATAAAATCAGGACAACTGTAATCCCAGGAATTAGCTGCTTGTTTGTAAATATAAGGGTGGTGTCGCCACAGAGGGGTATGAGAGCATTGTTATTATTATCCAAATCCGTTTTTCTTGTTGTGCTGCCAGGACTGTTTAGTTTACCAGGGCTATTACAGATCACACTGAGAATTGTATTTATCGTAACATTCAATTCAACACCCTCTTCTAACTATTATATGTTTACACAAAACATATACTGTTAAAACTGGCAGCTGTGGTTGCCAGAAATTCACTTAAAAAAAATACTGTGAACATGTTTCCAGTATTACAGGATGGCATATTGGTGCCTGTATATTTTACAACTTTTACAACTGTATATTGTGACATAATGTTAGAATACCAATCTATTTGAACTACCAAAACGTCTTTTGTACTTTAAAATGTACTGATAACCACCATAATAATACAGGTGGTATAATAAAAAATACCACATGATGAATTAGAGTTCATCATAAATGGGTTGTTCATAAAACATTGTATATTCGATATATTTATATATTCAATACTCGTGCACAGCTTTTATTTATTTATTTACCGAATATTGTGAGAAAAGTTACAGTTGACCAATTAGCAGGTTTTTACTGTAGCATTTTTACAACAGTATAATTGACTTTTTTGTAATTTGACAATTTGTGGACATAAAAAATCTATCCAATTTAAAGCAATAATAGGATTTGGGAATGTACGAAGACTCTTTAAAGCATTTGATATTATTCTTAGTACACACTTGTCACCTTGGTAACTGTACTGTAAGCATTATTTGCACCCCAACAAGAGTTTGCAGAGGAGTTAAGTACAGCTCTGCATTTCCCTCCCATCCATGTTGTCACAGAAACCAATTTTAATTTCCAGCAGAGTGCAGCAGCTCAACAATCCATGCAAGCATTACCTCATTGGTAGCATGCTTGCTTTCTTACCCCTGTGCAATGAGCAATTCTTCAATGTTATTTAGGTCCTCGATGCAAGCAGAACCAATAAACTGAAAAAGAAATGTCTCGCTGTATATTTTGCCAAGCGCATGAGTTGTAGTTTGGATTGGCTGATATAAGAAATTTAAGGGAAAGAAATATTGAAAGGGAAGTTAAAACAACAGGAAATCTCTTTTATCATGTGCAAATGGGAGGTGGAAATTATCCTCACAATCCCTCATCTTGCTTGGTATGCTGAGCTTGATTTATGTGGTTGTTTGGGAGCGAACAATAACATCAGAAATGGATTGGTTGGGTGTCCTCTAAATGTGATCTCTATGAGAAGGTCTGTGTTTGTTTCCTAACCTTTTAAAAGGTACACCCTTGTACACTCAGCATATATATATATATATATATATATATATATATATATATATATATGGGATGTGTCAG